AGTTCCAACTGGTTTCACAATCCTAGTAATCCAGAAGGAACCTATAATTTTTCGATTTGAGAGCGACCGATCCTAGTACCTGAATCCAGATATACAACATATTACATCTCAGCATGTTATCTAATCGATACATGTCTACCCTACCTACCTATACATACATATATATATATATATATATATATATATATATATCCAGTCTCAGCAACAAAGCCAAGCAACGCACAACTTCAATCCAGTGTTTCAACATCTAGTAAATTATCTCAACACTTATATAGCAGCTTTAGGTATTTACTCAACCAATATTAGCATTTACCAACTAATTTTGGCACATTTTACTATAGCATTTTAAACGAGCAATTTCACAAGATAACAGAAAATCTCATCACACAAATTAGGCATTATTACCTTCATTAACAATGGTCAACCCACTCAACCATGTTTAATCTGGGTTTTATCCTAAGGTTCGTTCATACACCAACTCACTCTCAGTTAAAATAAAATCCACATATGGTATTTCAACAGCTAAAGAACAATAAAGGCCATCTAAGATAAGCTCCCATTACCTGGATCAGATTTTCTTAGATTGAACGCTTCTTGAGTTCCCAAGAGAGAAAATAAGTCCAAGATTCTCAAATCTCCCTAGATCTGCATTAAGTAGGGGTTCTCGCTTGAATCTAAAAGAAAATTAGCCTTGAGAAGGTTTTCTCAAAGAAAGGGATGTGAGAGAACAAAGGAAAGGTGAGAAGGAATAGTAGTTTTGTGAGAAATGACAATTTTCAGCTCAAAAATTTCTTAAATACCTCTCAGCTCGTGGTCTTCTCGCTACAGCGAGATATAGCAGATAATTGAACCTTTCTGTTATCTATCATTTTCGCTACAGTAAAAAGCCCCTCACTCCAGCGAGAGTGTTAGTTAGGTGAACCTTATCCACTTCTTGTTATAGTGAGAGAGCTCCAAAAAGCCTCATTCTTGACGACTTATTCTCACTATAGCGAGATATTCTGCAATTCTACATCAACCTAAAACCCACCAAACTCACACAACATGCATAAGCTTTTTACTCAACAACCATACAACTCATATATACATGAATTCCAATCATTTCATTCCATTATCAACATACAACAACGCATTCAAAATACAAAGACTTCATAAATAATTGGTTATAATATCAATTTTAAAAGTAAATAAGCATACACATAACACGGGCCTGACAGCAAGGGTGGGTGAACTTAAGAAATCAACAATCATGACCACAAGATATGAAAATAAAATATAAGTCTTTCATAATTCTCAACAAACATTACAACAATTTTAACTAATTCCTAGCCCATCTAATGCAAATTCAACAGCTCAGTTCTAACTGGTTTCACAGCTTAATTAATCCAGAAAGAACCTACAATTTGCCAGTCTGAGAGCGATCCATCCCGGTTTCTGGATCCAAATATACAACATAATACAACTCAACATGTTATCTAATCAATACATGTCTTCCCTACTTAAACATGAACTAGGCTATAAAATTATAATATTTCATGATAATACAGCTCAGTCACAACAATTGTTCAACATTTACAACTTTTTGTTATAGCATCATATCAACACTTACCCATTTATTCCAGCATACAGGGTTTACAGTACATGTTAAGCATTTCACAGCCTTTATTAAATATTTCAACATAACATGTCTTAGCACAACAATTAAACTTTCACAATCAATCACATAGATACTCGGTATTCTACACTAAGGTTTACCTATAAATTGATTTATTCTCAGCATATTAAGATTTGTATACAAATATTTATATGGGTAATCATAATAACTTAGAATAATTGATGTTTTCCTATATCACTCCTTTCGTAAGCCCCAAAAAGGTATATAGCGCCTAAAGAACTCAGATCTTCTTATCATTACAAAATATAAAGCTCTTGAGAAGAGAAATAAAGAAAATAAGGAGTAAAGATGGAGAACTAACCTCTGAAAACTCACCTAGATCTTGTATGAAGTAGGCGTTCTTACTTGGATCGGGAAGAAGTTTATTTTTTAGAAGGTTTTTCTCGAAAAGAGAAGGGTGAAAGAATAGAGAAAATCGTGAAAGGAAGATGGTTTTGTGTAGAAAATGAAGATTTTCAACTTAAAACCCTTTAAATACCCCAAACTCATGATCTTCTCACTACAACGAGCATCTCTTGCTACAATAAAAGGGTAGTTGGGTTAATTTTATCTACTTCTCGCTACAGCGAGAGAGATCTAGAGTGTCTCGTTCTGGACGACTTATTCTCACTACAACGAAATATCCTACAATTTTACACCAACAAAAAATATCCAATTCATACAACTTGCATTAGCTCTATACTTGGCAACTATACAACTCTCTCTCTCACACACATATATATAAAATAGAAGCCTGACAGTTCCAGGTAATTTTAACGTCTAATCCTATTACAGAGTTTATTTATCATTTGTTAAAAAACTTGTTAAATGAAGTACTAACATGTGTACTATAAAATGAGAATAAAGTATTGTCTTCACTGATTGTAATTTGAGTTAAATAACAAAAATTATTAATATAAACAAAGTAATGAAACAAATTTTCTATTATTTATATAGCTAATATGTAATACCCCAAATTTTGTAATATTATTTTGATTATTAATATAAATTGTGAAGTCCTATTGAATGTGTATTTGATGAGTATGATGATGTGAATGTACGTATATATGTGTGATGACGTGGACATATATGAATATTGATTGAGAAATAGGTAAAAAAGTGTGATGTAGGAGCATTCTCGCTATTTAGGGGTAAAGCATGAAACTGTTACATTCTCACTGCAGCGAAAGTCTCCCCGCTGTAGCGAAAGGGTAACAAAGGAGGGTGCAATTCTGGGTGCAGTCTCGCTGTAGCGAGATTCTACAAAAACCAGAGTACAGTTTCTTCTAATATTTTTGTTGTAGCGAGAGAGGATGTCACTACAGCGAGGGATGTCTCGTTGTAGCAAGAATATAGCAACCAGAAGGGTATTTGAAAGGTTTAGGATTTGGAAAATTCATTTCTCATTCCTCTATTTGAAATCTCTTTGATTCTCTCGACTCCCAACCCTATTTAACCATTTAAACTGCCTCCAAAGTCATTTGGGTTTACGATTGAAGGTTGAAACCATGTTTGGGCGCTTGGAGGCAAGTTTTAAGACTTAAGGTTTCGGTTTCTCATTCCTCTTCTTGATTTCTCAGTTTCTCATGGAGTTTTCCATGTGTTTAAGATGAAAATCTATGTGGGGGACGTTTTCTGCTATTATCTCATGTTAGGTCTTCATTTAGAGGTAAGGGAGGCCTCTATCCTATCTCATTTTGCTTGGAAATCCAATTATTTGCTATATGTTATAATGTTGTTGAGATAGAACGTAGGAACATGTGTGTTTTGATGGATTTTCATACTGGACATGACGTATTAAAAGTCAGTTGATATTACGTGTGAGTAAATTGCTTGATTGTAATTGGGTTGTACTAAGAACCTTGTGTGGAATGTAAATATGATTGATGTTGTGTATAATGCATGATGAATTGACTTGATTGTGGTGAAATTAGGATACAAATTTTGTAGTTGAATATAATGTGGTTGAACATGGGTTGACATGTCCTTGATTGAGGATGTGAGTGAATGTGTATGTTAACATGCCATCGATTAATATTAAAAATTTGAATGGTTAGAAATGTGTATGAATAGCATGTTGGATGTGATTGTGATAATGTTTGGAATGATTAGAAACTATCATTACTACAAAATTTCATTTTTTCCACAGCTTTTTACCCACGGTTTATATAACCGTTGTTAATTTTGAATATTGCTCGCGGTTTAAATAGCCGTAGTTAAATTTAAATATTTTTTATGGTTTATTATAATAACCATGGTTAATTAACGACAGTTACAGAAAACCCCAGTTAATTATTAAAATATTTTTGTACTAGTTTATTATGATAGCTTGCTCGTGTGCGTAGATACCTTCTCTCCTAACCCAAAAAGATAACCCTATTGTATTGCCCAAGGTTCATGCCCTTTCTCAACTTCTCTTTTGACTGAATCGATCTTGTGCTCTTTCAGTTGTGTAAAGGTTGGATTCAATCTTCCTATTGTCTCCTAATCAGGTATATTTTTGTTTTACGTTTGGGGTTTTACATTTGAGTTTGTGTTTGGGCTGCATTATCGTTGATTATCCAAGAGTGGTTCTTACAATATTAAGCTGCGTTGTCATCGTTGTTGCCAAGCAACATTGCTATAGTGCATTTAAAAGTTGTAACACTTGTAATCGTGACCAAATAAGCAAAGTCAATACTTGGTTCCTTTTCAAGTTTCACTAAAGGGGGATTCCATTTGTTGTGCACTACCCGAACACCCTTGGTTACAAACTGTGTTCTTCTATTTGATTTATTTTTTAAATTACCTAATTTTCTGAAATAAAGAAATTAAAATGATTATTTATTATGAAAACTTGACCCCAAATGCAGAAAGTTATGTTGTGTAGATGAAGTTCAGAAACAGTGAGCAGCTTACTTTTACAATGTCATGCAGTTGCTTTCCTTTCAAGAAGTTTTTTTCATGTGTTTATTCATTTACATTTTAGGGTTAAAAAGTTGTGTTTGATGAAAATTAGGTGCTCACTTCTATTTAAAGCTACTTCTCGTGCTCTTTTATATTTTGGTTAGAAAGGGGACTAAGGATTTGCGATATTAGATGTTATTTACTTTAGAGCATAACTTGTTGTGCCCCTTACTTTAGAAGCAAATTTCCATTTATAATTTGCAGAGACGGCAAAAGCTAGTTGTATTATTGATTGAGTTGATTCTCTCCATTTCCTTATTTGTTGTACCTTTTTCTTTGTTACAATACAGAGAATATCTTATCATTTCCCTAATTTTGCTGTCCCTTTTTTCTTTCTAATAATGTTTCTTTTTCTAAAAGCATGGTTATTCTGTGACATAACTAAATTCTTTTACTGTAGGTGGAGAACACTCCCATTCTCACGGTAACCATGGAGACCATGACCATGATGCTAGTTTTGGATATGCTCATTTGCATTCTTTAGCTGATCTTTCTATAAGAGTATCCAATTCTTAGTTAGAGTAACATGCTCAAAGTTTCTTTCTAATCATTTTGATTATTTACCATTAAGGATATTTTAAATTATTGGCTTCTTTTACTTCCTTTAATTAATTGCATGACATAAGTTTATATGTCTTTCCTAAGTGAAAGGAAGTTTATTTTAGTCTTTTGTTGCTTATGGTAGGATAGAATAATGTTTCTTTCTTGAAGAGTGAACACTAATAGTCATCTTTCATTATGTGGAAAACATCCATCTCTTGTATCCATTCTTTTAGCATTTTGTATTTATAACGCTGCTAAGTAAATTACCAAACAATAAAAAAAAGTTAGACTGTTTGTTATATTCTAGAATCATGCTACTTTTCATCTTCAAGGAAAAATAGTTCTGAATTTCATCTTCATTGGTTTCCAAAATGGTTTTTATACAAGTCCTTTCCTTGGATGTAATTTCCCTTATCTATGGGAACAGTATAACATGGTACGTAAATAGGATCATTTTTTTCAAAAAAAAAAAAGTTATAAAATACTAAAATATATCAAGTAAAATAAAATGTTTTATAAACTGCTTACAATTTTATTAAATTTTATTTATTTTTTAAATATGGTTAACATTTATACTGGTTTGCCATCGTTATTAGATTAACTTCTTGAAATTTTAAAAAATATATATAATCCAATTTAAATAAAAATATTATATTCAAGTTATGATATCAATTCATTTATTATACTGAAACAGTCTGTAATTCTGAGCATTCAATTCGAGTATCTTATCAAGTTTAAAATATCCATACTAATTAAATGGTCAAATACATCTAAACTTGTTTGTCTAATTATTCATGTTGTATCACATTGTTAAATGTAATGAATGTGTTTTTTCCGCTATAAAGAGAATTTGAATTGATGTCCAAATTACTAGTAATATAGAAATGAGTCATTGAATACGACATTATGTTTCTGCATGGTTAATGCATAATAAACTGTACATAGCAAAGGCATATATTAAGTGAATTTTATGTGTTGTTATCTGTAAATCAATCAATGCCTGTTATCTACACATGATTGAATTGATGTGTATGTAAACTGTGTCTAACTGGATTTCTGTCAAACATTCCTTTGTTGAATATGAACTTCCACAATCCAAATTAGAACTTCATCTACAAAACTTCATGGCAGTCAACTATACGTTGGATAAAAATGAAGAAGATGAAGATGAGTAACATATAAGAACTCTTAATTCAATAGTTTTAAAATTTTAAGTTGATCATCGTATTTAAGTTTGTTTATATAATATATTTGTAATTAATAGAGTTTTTATATTAAAATACATGTTTAGAAATTTAATAAAATTACATTTAATCATATTTCAATATAAAAATTATAACCCATAACGTTGAGATATACCATAATTTAAGTAGATTTGGTGCAGAACCATGATATAAATATGTGTAATATGTAACATGAAGGGTATATTAGTACTTCTCTGTAGCTATAGGGACAGTCTCTCTTAATAGACCAAGGAAAGTTATGCCACACACCTGATGTAGGGTCTATATTCAAAATTAATTATGGAAAGGGTAGGGTAGAATAATGTTTCTTTCTTGAAGAGTGAATGATGACTCATATTTTGTAGTAACATTTATAGCCTTATTGCATCTTTCAAAATATCTTTTTTTTTTTATTTATTTCATTTAGCATGTTTTTGCATTTCTTGCATTAAATTAGAGTTTTCATAAATACTTATTATTTTTACCTTATATTTCATAGTTTTGCTATTCTGACCTTTGTCCACTATTTTGGTCATAACTTTTTCTGTAGATCTCTTTTTTGGCTAATTCTTTTTGCAATGATTCCTCATTTCCTGGGCTTCAATTTGGACATATGGATCATGCTTTTTGGAGCTCGAACCTATTTTTTTTATTAATTTTTGAAGATCAGACTTAAAACATATCTTTTATATTTAGGGTTTTTATTTAGGGCTTTTAATTTTATTTACTTGCGGTGTGACCTTGGCCCATTTATTTTTGTTTTCATTTAAGACTAGTATATATAGGGGTCAAAAGGTTGATTTTGGACACTTCTTCTTATCCTTTTAATAATTTCATTTTTCTGTAAAGACACTTTTCCATTTTTAAGAGTAAATTTGTATCGTTCCATTCGCTTGCGTCTCTTCAGATCCTACTGTGTTCTTAATTATTTGGTGTTGCGAATCATCTTCTCTCAAGCGTGGATTACTAGATCGATTGAGTGCTCCGAGTTTGTCTTTTTACCTTCTCGCAATTCTTGATTAAGATTTGTGCATACATAATTTGATTGAATTTGGTTTTTGTTCTTGAATGTAATATCGATCGATTGTTTTCTATTGCATTTGAGTTTTGGATAAATTCGGTATAGTAATCCTAGTTTGCGTCTGTGGTTCGTGGGTTTAATTCGTGTTAGTTTTAATTGTTCTTGTTTCAATTTTTGTTTTTAATTTTCATTTTTCAATTTTTGTTCTCAATTATTTTTTTCAGATTTCTTTTCAAATTTTAAATTCAAATTTAAATTCAAATTCGTTTTCAGATTTATTTTTAGATTTGTTTTTAAATTTTAAATTCAAATTCGGTTCTAGATTTATTTTTTAGATTTGTTTTTAAATTTTAAATTCAAATTCGTTTTTAAAATTTATTTTTAGATTCGTTTTTATTATCTTGATCCACTTTCATTTGAATTACTTTCATTTTTAATTCATCGTTAAATCACAAACCTCCAAATTAATCGCTGTTGCATGTTTAAAATTAGAAATAGAATGAATTTGTGTCCTTGTAAGATGACCTAGGTTTACTCCCTATATTGCATGCTTATATGAGAAATCTAGTTTTGTTTGAAACCATTACGACGTGGTTGTCAGTGAACAATAATGGTCATCTTTCAGTATGTGGAAAACATCCATCTCTTGTATCCATTCTTCTAATTTTTTGTATTTATAACTTTGTTAAGGAAATTAACAAACAATTAAAAAAAGTCAGACTACTTGTTATATTTTAGAATCATACTACTTTTAATCTTCAAGGAACAAATATTTATGAATTTCATCTTTGTTGGTTTCCAAAATGGTTTTTATACAAGTCCTTTCCTTGAATAATGTTTCTTGTGTAATAGTGAATATTTGGATCTTTCTTTTAGTAAACATTTGATTCAAAAAGTGGAGAAGTTACTTCCTTGTTTCTTGGGCATGTGATATTTTATTCTTAGTGTTAAAACTTGAGATGTTATGTTTTAAGGTTTGATTTCAATGCTTGAATACTCTCTAGACTAAAGTAAAGTAGAAAGTGCTAGATCATAGTAGTTACTGATTTTTTTTTTTCACTTGCCTTGAAAACATGACAATTTGAATAGGTGGCATCATGTAATTTAGTATTGTATATCATGTTATTCAGAGCAAACATTATTTTCTTGAGAATGAATGGATTGTGAGGGCTGCAAATTATTTAACTTCCTCAAGTCATTGGAAATTTGTCTTAGTGACTTCCTCATCATTATTGTTTGTCCTCTGCATTGTCTATTCACGAAAACCTATTGTTGAACCAAAACCTGGTTCTTGGTTTGCTTTTTTCTGTTTGTCCCTTGTCCTATGAGATGAAAGGGGTTTGGTCTTTAACTCTTTTGAAGTCTTTGTTAATTAAGGCTCCCAAATTTTCATCTATTCTCCTAATTCTTAACAATTTCAGTTTTCTTTTTATATAAGATCCCTTAGACTTTCAGATAAAAAATATATACAAGATTTAATCCAAATGTCAAGATCATGCTTTCTATACAAAACTATCTAGTCAGCTACTTTCATAAAAGTGAAAGAAGGAAGGGGGTGGGGGAAATTTGAAGTTGAATTTATTCTGCTATTTATCTGCATAATGTAATGCTTGAAGTTATGAATGATCTCCTTAACTTTATTTGTCTTTATATTATTTTCTCTCAATTTTAATAACCTCTAAAAGTATTTAAGCTTATTCATTGTCATAATTCAATTTTTGCAAGCTAATTTCCCTCCTTTGGTGCCTTGATGATCAATATTGTTTGTTGAGTTTCTATTTACAACAAGGACATTTCAAAGTTAGAAAATTTTCCATCTTGGTGAGTTACATTAGCTACATTGCAAAGTTAGCAATTTTTCAAGTTCTATTTTGAGGTTAACTTGTGATAATGGCTGGCAACCATAACTTGTGTATCTTTACCACTTTTAGGAATACTATTTATTTGCTATTTTTCATGTAGTTAGGAATGTAACATGTTTTCAAGTGACCTACATATATATATAGATAAGGGAGTAATTGATCTATTTAGGAATGTTTTCTTATAAATTGATTCTCTCTTATTTATGGGTGCTTATACTTAGTATTATTGAAACTCAATTTAGTCATTTTATTTGCTTTTCAGAAATAATGGATGTCATGGATTAACATGCCTCGGAATACACCACAATATATTGAAGGATTGAATAATTTTTTAAATTTTGCATTTGCCAATAAGGGTGTTGAAGGTAGGATAATATGTCCATGTCCTAAATGCAAGTTTAATAGATGGAAAGTTAGAGAAGAAGTATACAACCATTTGATTGTAAAACCTTTTCCAAAAGGGTATATAGTTTGGTTAAGACACGAAGAGATAATCAATACATATACTACAGTTGAAACACCTTTAATGTCTCAGGAGGTTGAAGATAGAGTTATTACTATGCGACATGGTCAGTGATGTATTTAGAAATCATATAAGTGATGATGATATACAGGAAAATGATGATATGTGTCCACAATCAAACCAAGCCTTGCCTGATAACAATGCAGAATTTTTGGAGTTAATTAGGTATGGTCAACAAAGTTTGTACGAAGGATGTAATAAATATTCAAAACTTTCATTATTGGTCAAGTTGTATCACATTAAATGTCTTTGTAAAGTAAGTGACAAGGCAATGTCAATGATCCTAGAGCTGTTGGATGATGCTTTTGAACA